CCTCATATCGTTTCGGAGGGCCAAAATGGTTTTATCAGAGACCGGCAGATTACTGATAACATCCTTATAGGACATGAACTAATGCACTACCTGAAAATTAAAACGCAAGGGAAGAAGGGGTACATGGCTCCGAAGGTTGACATGGAAAAGGCCTATGATAGAGTCGAATGGCCCTTCCTTCTTGCTGTTTTGGCTAAGATGGGTTTTAATTAAGTCTGGCAAGGATGGATACATGAATGTCTTCGATCTTCCTCCTTCTCGGTTCTGATGAATGGTACACCTTCGGGTTATTTCACTGCCTCTAGGGGCCTTCGCCAGGGGGATCCGCTCTCTCCTCTCTTGTTTGTGCTCTGCACGGAGGGGTTTGCAGGCCTCCTCCGAAAGGCGATCACGGAGAAAAAATTGGAGGGAGTGAAAGTAGCTCCTCGTGCTCCAAGAGTCTCACACTTGTTCTTTGCGGATGATTCTTACTTATTCCTGTGAGGTTCTCTTCATGAGTGTGAGAATTTAATTGAGGTGCTGAATGAATATGAGGAACTGAGTGGCCAACGAGTTAATTTGGAGAAATCGGCGGTATGCTTTAGCAGGAATATTTCCACGCCTGATCAGGAGTTCTTGGCCTCGATTCTAGGGGTTGGTGCAGTGGGGGTCCATGATAAATATCCGGGGCTTCCCACGCTGGTTGCTCGATCCAAAATAACGACGTTCAGATATTTGGAGGAAAAAGTCCTAGAGCGTCTGCAGGGGTGGAAGCAAAGAACTTTTTCGTGGGCTGCGAAGGAAACTTTGATTAAATCCATAAAGTTGGCTCTTCCCCTTCATGTTATGTCCTGTTTCCGCCTCCCCCTAGCTCTTTGTCGTCTTTTAGATAGACATGTGGCCCGCTTTTGGTGGGGTGCTGAAGAGGGTACTCCCAAGATTAGATGGGTATCCTGGCAAAACATGTGCAGGAGTAAGCATGATGGGGGAATGGGATTTCGTCAGTTTGAACATTTCAACCAAGCTCTTTTGGCTAAGATTGGCTGGCGGATTCTCAATGAACCTCAATCACTCATTGGCCAGGTTTATAAAGGCAAGTATTTCCCTCAAGGGTCTTTCCTGACCGCGACTGCTAGGTCTCGTCCCTCTTGGGGATGGTTGAGTATCCTTCATGGGCGCCAGTTATTGGAGATGGGTTTAAGATGGCAGGTCGGTAATGGCCAATCGGTCTCCCTCCTTCGATCTAACTGGATTCCTCGAAACCAACCTGATCCCCCATGCTATAATCCGCGGATATTGCCTGGGGGGTTGGGGGATCCCTTGGTGGCGGAGGTTATTTGTGAGGGGGGAGGGCGGTGGTCTGATGAGAAGCTCAGTCAATGGTTTGATCCGCCCACCTGTAGGGCTATTAAAGCTATTCCCCTCCCGAGATGGGATATCCCTAATAAGCTTATCTGGCACTTTGCGGCTGACGAGATCTTCTCGGTAAAGTCGGCTTACCATTTGGCTGTTGATTTGGACAGGAGGAGGGGTGGGTGGCGATCCTCGGTTAGCTGGATGGATAAGCCTAGTTGGATTAGAGTGTGGGAGGCGAAGATCCCTCCGAAGTTGAAGGTTTTTGTTTGGCAAATTCTTAATCGGGCTCTCCCGACTACGGAGGCGCTTATTGAGAAAAAGGTCCAGGTGCTACCTCGGTGTCCAGTTTGTTGGGATGGCCCGGAGACGATGGAACACATGTTTCTTTATTGTCCGGTTGCGCGGGCTCTCTGGGACTACTCAGGGCTGGAATACTTGGGGGAGGGTTTGCCTCGGCACACTTTTCCTTTGTTTCTCAAATGTCTGTTGGCGCTGATTCATCAACCGTCTGTGGTTATGGCTGTTGTTGCCATCCTTTGCAGGATCCGGCGATCTCGAAATTGGGTAGTCTTTGAAGGCAAACAATTTGGGATCCCGGCACTCATGCGCCAATTTAACCAACACTATGAGCAAAGGATGGGTCTACCAGCGGACCAGGCTCCTAGGGTGACGATCCCGAGGATGCAACCTATAGCGCAAATGGGTGATTCCCATTTGGTTTGCATGTGGGACGGGGCTACTAAGGGTGGGTCGCATTCGGCGGGTGGGATGGTTCTCTTTGGCCCAGCGCGAACACTCCTCCTGGCTAGAGGGGTTCAGTTTCCTCACATGGATGATCCTGTAGTGGTGGAATTGCTTGTGCTCAGGGAAGCTATTATTTGGTGTGTGGAGTAAGGCTTGTCGGAGGTCCGGTTTGAGGGTGATGCGAAGGTGATTATTGAAAAAATTAATCAAGCCGACACAAGCGATAGCCGGGTGGGTGCTGTTCTTGAAGAGATTGGTCATTATTTTCGTACCCAACCCGGTTTTAGTGTGTGTTTTGTAGGTCGCGAGTACAATAGGGTAGCTCATTTGGTAGCTAGGAAAGCCCTCTCTTTGTATCCGACTATGAGTCATTTCTTTGATTTCCAGGCCTGGCTGGTTTCCATAGTGTAACTGTCTATTTTTTGGATCTTTTTTTTTAACAAAAGATATATATTAATCAATCAAAGAAGATAGTTACATCATGGAAAGCAGCCAGGCCTAGAAATCAAAAACACCACAAGCAGTCGGGTACATTGAAAGGGCCTTTCTAGCCACCAAGTGGGCTACCCTATTACTACGCCGACCTACAAAACGAATACTCAAACCAGGATGAACGGCAAATAATTGCACCACCTCACTAAGAACAGCCCCCATCCTGCTATCCTCTGCCTCTCTTCTGCGGACTTTATCGATAATCACCTTCGCGTCCCCCTCAAAGCAAACCTCTCCAAACCCTCGAGCTATACACCACCGCACCGCCTCCCGAAGCGCCAGGACCTCAGCAACTACCGGATCCTCGATACTCGGAAACTGGACTCCTTTGGCCAAGAGGACCCCATCCCCTGAGCAAAGCACAACCATTTTTGGATCAACACATGATATCTTTTGAAAAAAAAAAGTGTAGTATTGTCAAATCAGCTGGTATCACTACGAATTGCCAGTTTAATAGCGTAAAACCTACTTGCATGGATTTTTCATGATGTTAATGTATAATACTGGTTTAGATGGTGGTACATGATTTTTATTGTCAGATCGGCGTACAATATGATAAATTAATCCTTGGTTCTAGAATTATGGCGACGCTAATATGCTTGAATTTTTTTGGAATTATTGTTATCATTGATAATGAAATTAGGCCATGTTTGATAGTTAGAATTCTCTAAATTGATACATTTAATCAATTATATATTCTAATTAGATGTATTATTCAGGTATGAATTTAAAATATATATTATTTTGGAGGCTGAATGATTTTGACGGTCCATAAAAAAATTAGGAAGAAAAAACGAGAGATTTACAAACTACCATAAGACATTATCACATCTTTTTCTCAAATACAAAGTATTGTGTTTCATCATCTGAAATATGTTAGACCTATACTTTTTTTAACAACCTTTACTAAAGTTATTACATTATCGATTTTAATATTGAAACTCAATACAATAAATTGAAGACAATAAGAATAATAAACAATGCGAAAAGGCAGGGGGAGCACGCGGCAGGTTGTTATTGGTTCTGCCCTCCCAAGAATCGTACGGACTCCCATAGTGACGTGTCGTTCTGTCAAAGCTGTACGGATGCAATCCCATTGGTTCATCAAGCTCTTTAGTTATCCATCACTGACCTCGCTGTGGTTCACAGTTTGCGTGCAACCTACCCATTGTTGTGCCAGCCCAGCCCAGAGGTTAATAAAATCCTGTAAAGAAAAAAGGAGGATCAAATGCAAAAGTAATAAAAAAAAAATAGAAATAAAGAAAGTTAGTTAAAATAGTTGAATACCCCCGGCCGGGCAGGCAGTCCGGGAGTAACTGGCAACCGACAGGAATGTTGAGTGTTTGAAGACCTCATAGTATACCCGTCGCTCCTCCACCGCTCTCCCGCCGACGCTTTGGACACGCGTCGATCAGCCTCCACCGGCGCCCAATTTTGCGTGCTCCCCTCCGGCGTACGTGTCAATTGTCAAGTGGGAACAGGCGTGAACACAGAAACAGAGAAAAACAGTTTTTAAATCGGTAATAATGGCGCTGGCGCATCACATGGTTATGCGCCTCGCCTTCTCTCCTCCTTTGCCTCAGTGGACAGTGGGGACGTTGTTTTTCAATTTTTTGGCCCTTCTCCTTCTTCTCTATCTTTGCTTTTTATGGGAGGTGCATGTTTCTCACCTCCCCTCAGTTTACCCAAAAAAGAAAGGGATTAGGTTCCTTTAAAACTCTTCTTCCTCCCTTCTTCCCTATCTTTGCTTTTGGTTTCTTCCAAGTTCCTACTCTCCTTCCTTTTCCCCTTTCCCTGTGCCTTTTATGCTTGGAATTTTATTTTATTTTGTTATTATTGTTCTTTTTTTGGTATAATTTCTGCTGCTTAGATAGGGTTATAGCCTCAGTACTTCATCCAAGCCACGGCTAGGGCACTTGGTTGATTAATCATACATCCAGCAGTAAGAAGAAGGAACAAATAGCATCCTAGCTAGGGTTTGTTTTCTTCTATCTCCTCCATCTGCATTTCTATCCGCCGTCTGGGTTTTCTTCTAAATGGGCAGCTTTTATCTTGGTAGCTCGATTTTGATCCAATCTTGCTCAAAAGTCTGCTGCTTTGAATAGTCAACAAGAGTGTAGAAAGCTTTTTTCTTCCTTATTTGGGGAGATTGGGTTTCTTTCTATTCGCTTTCTGTTTTGGGGGGGAAAATCTCAGATCTTCTTGTTTGTTTTTCGTCTCCTGTTGTGGTCCGCTCCACCAGTAGGCTTTTTCATTGACTTCCCTTGCTGTTTGGGTTCTTTTTTGCTGTTTCTGGCCTCTGAGATTCCTGGCCTCTGACTGTGCAGCTCAGGTGATCGACGAAAAGACTGGGAGAGAGTGAGAGCAGTGAAGAGGGGTTGAAAACAGAAAATAAAAACTAAAGCGAAAGGAAAGAGAAGTAAGTAAGAATGGTGAGAGGGAAGACCCAGATGAAGAGGATAGAGAATGCGACGAGCAGGCAAGTGACTTTCTCAAAGAGAAGGAACGGGCTGCTGAAGAAGGCTTTTGAGCTCTCTGTTCTTTGCGATGCTGAAGTTGCACTTATTATTTTCTCACCAAGAGGCAAGCTTTATGAGTTCTCCAGCGCTAGGTAGGTACTATCTTTCTCGATCTCTATACTCCTCCTCTTCTTCCCTCATCATCATTACTTGCTTTCCTACATGTAGCAGAAACTTGACAGTTTCAATTTATGGTGGTGGTGGTGGTGGATCAATATGTCTACAAATACACCCGGCTGGCCGGCAGTAGCCTGAACGAGTGTCTCAGGCTTTTTCTCTGCCAAAAGCCTGAGAAATATCATTTTTGTGGTCGGAGATCTCTACGTTTATACCGTTTATGGTGATTTCATCTCGACCACATTCCACATATACTGCTTTCTCTTCTAGGGTCCATTGTCAGAAAGAGAGATGGTGAAACAGATTATATATATGCTCGTTATAGTATATTCTACGAACCTTGTTTTCACCATATACAGCCCATTTCCTGGTAGTTATCTTTATGCTGCAACACACACCATCCGTTTTGGATGCTTGGTTGTTGTTCCACATCAGTAGCATTATCTCACTGTTGCTTTCCAGTGATGAAACTTGAAAGTAGTTCCGATATAGGAGAGAAGAGAGAGAGAGGGAATGGTGTAGTGATGTCAATATACTGTGGAAGTAAGTAGACAGGCACTAATGGGTTCTGGAGAATGCCAGAAATTGCTGCAAAACGGGGGACCCTTCGGTGGGTGGATATATTAGCAGCTGCAAAATGGTACAAAGAATTAGATGGGCAAAAGTAGAAGGCGAAAAGGGTATAGCAGGAAAAATAGAAGAAAAGAACAACTTGGGATCTAACTTGGTGTGGGATAGAGGAAACTAGGAGAGAACTTGGTTCTCAAATTTGTGGGTTCCCCAGCCCCAGCTGTTCCCTCTCCTTCTCTACTTCTTGGCTATAGAAAGCTTTCATGTTGTTGAATCAACATGATGTCTCCAAGTTGAGCCGTGAACACTATGGACTATGGAGTCATTGACCATTGTATTAATGTGCTGTATTGTTGGGGGAGAAAGTCCTTTCCCCCTCTCTGTTCTTGATTTTAGTGTATGACTGACTGTAAGGGTGCTAGCTGTTTGATTTTGCCACCACTTCACTTCAGGTGATATCAAGTTTTTTTTTTTTTTTTTTGGTGAGACAGATGATATCAAGTTAAACCTACATAATAAATAATTGATTTAATGGGCCAGATATTTGTGTTGGGCTCTCTTTGCTTCAATGCATGTCAGATTCTTGTTTCTTTATGGGCAAGAATCTTGTTCCTTTTGTTGTCCACCGAGGGAGTAAAAGGTTACCAATTTTTTTTTGGCATATGATAATTGATCAAGAAAATTTATTTATAGTACATTCCTTAGTTTAAATATGACTAGCTAGTACTTCGTGTGATCGTTGCTGGTTTAGAAGTGAAATAATGGACAATGAGGTAGAAATTTAGGATGGATCATACTTTTTATTTTTTTAGGATTTGAGATGTATAAAGTTAACTCTCAAATGAGATTCAAAGACCCCGGCCAATTGCATAATAGTTGGCCGACTAGGAGTTCTAACTTGTTGAAGGATAATTCAAATGAATATTGTCAGTAAATGATATAACATTCATAATCGAACCACTTTCTAGTAATTGAACTTGAGTAATGAGAATATTATTGGAACCACTTTCTAGTACATATTTTTTTGCCAAGCCCAACGACCCCAATCTAACTATATACATGATATTTGGATCTAGTATAAAATTCATAACTGAATCTCTATCCAACTATTCAAATTATTGTAACCAAGCTGTTTATAGCTTAGTTTGACCCTGCGGTAGCTTTTGCAGAAGCAGCTTCTGGCTTGAGCTTTTAGATAAGTACTTAAAAAAAAAAAAACAGTTTAGTGTTTGGCTGTAAAATTATTAGAAGTGCTTTTTAATATGAGCTTGTGTAAAATGACTATAAATGACTTATAATATAAAATATGAATAAAAATTCTAAACAATAAAAAGTAGTAAAAATGGATCTTGTTAGATTTTTTTATATTAAATAATATGATTTTATAATTTATTTTGTTTTTAAAATGATATAAATGAAGAAAAATTATATTTTCTGAAATAAAATTAAAATATGGTAAGGATAATCTTGTATTTCCAAAACAGCTTTTCGTAGAAGCTCCGAATTGGAGCTTCTGCTTTTATGTTATACAAAAGCGCTTTTTGACTTTTCAAAAGTCGAGCATTTAGAGGTGTTTGACCCTACTTCAGCTTTTAAATTCGAAAAGCACTTCTAAAAGCCGGGTCATACATAGGCTATATGTCAAACTGATTGCTATACTCAACGGTCCTAACTAACCAAAAGCATCTAATTAACTATCTTAGTTTACATCGTCCTATGCAATGTAATCAAGGCTGCTTTTATTAACTACCAAATTATTGATAGGATATGTATACAGTAAAATAGCGGTGAATGCTATTCATTCTACTTCTAGCATGCATGAAACGTGCATGAATATTGATAGGATATGTATACAGTATATTAATCTCCGCCATATATAAGTACATTTGACATTTCTCTTCTGTCGACGTGCAAGAGTTACTTTCGATGTGACACAATTTTCTAAAGCTAGCGCTTTTGCTGTGGGTTACAAAAGGATGCTAGCCTTTGGATCTTAGTCCATGAACTTGGAATTGGAGGTTGGGAACAGAATGAATGTACATATAGGTGAAAAATATTTAAATGGTAGTATTACACCTCTAAAATTTGGAAACCGATTATTTAACCCATGGTAGTAGTTTGCGTATGACCAAATAAAATATTTTAGTGTTATCCTATGTGATTTGAAATTGGATTTGAGAGGTATCTTTTGGTAGGGATGGCAACAAAACCCGAACCCACGGGTACCCTACCCGACCCAACCGGGTCAACACGGATTAAACCCGCGTTGACGAATTTCGGGCCTGGTTTGGGTTTAAACCCGTACACTATTCTTCGGGTTGCGTTTGGGTTTAGGGATACCCAACCCATGGATACCCGCCCACACTTATTTTGTCGCCTTACTCTCCCCAAATCCTACCATAATTCTAATTTCCCCCAATCTAACTCTCACTACACTTATTCTGTGTGCTTTTATTTAGTGTAATTGTGATTTGTTTGATTTTTCTAGAATGGTCTTTTATGTATGGATAATTTGTATGGTAAAATTAATTTTTGAATTTTATTTTTATAGGAATTTGTTAATTTAAGCTTTTTACCACAAAAACCCATGTGTACCCATGAACCCGCGGATACCAGTGGGTTGGGTTGGGTTTGAGTTTTTAAAACCCAGTGGGTTTTACCCCGCGTTTTTTTTTACGGATAAACCCATGAGTTTGGCAAAACCCGACCCATTGCCATCCCAATCTTTTGGAGTCTTCTATTTGTGTAATGGTTTTAATCGGGAGCGGATCTAGTCAACAACCTTGTGGTTATTAATTATGCATAAACCAATAAGCCTTTAATTTTCCCTCTTTAATCTTCAACATATGATTTCTCACTCGTTTTAAGTCGAAATTTAATTTTTTTGCACAGTTAGATTAGATTTAATTGTGCTCTTCAAAATGATATCAACTTTGATATATTTTTGGAACAAAAAAAATTGAGCAATTTTTTACCAGTCTATACCGGTATTGACTGGTATTGAAATAAGAGCATAGCATATGGTATGAAAAGCATACCATGGTAGTATGAACATACAAAAACTATTGGATGGTTGAATACATGATAGGAGTATACTAATTGTCATTTACGACTTTCAACATTGTGTACCACAAGATACCACCCCGTACCACGGTAGTATTGTGTGGTATTTTGTTAACCCATAAATTTTTAGGTCCAATAAATCATGATGAACTCGTTCATTCTGTGCAAAAAAATTCAAAAATGATTGAAAAACGAAGAAAATATCATATGGTATGTAGTTGGTAACGAGAGGTGTCAATTTTTTCTCTCAAAAAATATTGAAAATTGATATCATTTTGTAGATCACAACTAACTCGTTCCATCTATGCTAAAAAAAATTGAAATCCGAGTTAAAACAAAGAAGATATTAGCCGATGTAGAAAACAAAGAAAAATAAAAATGTCTTTAATTCTCCACCATTCGATATAGAGATTTTCTGAATAAAGGGCCTAGATTTAGTTATGGATGGGTCATGGGAATTGATTTTATGGGCTTATCATTTTCGCTTAATGGATAAAGATAGATAGGCTCTTAACGAGTTTCAATTTCGGTAAAAATCTAAAACCAACAATAAAACGATAAGCCTTATTGGCTACCGCAATAAAATTTTGTTTCCTTTTATTTTGACAGAAGCCAACCGAAAACTGATAAACTCTTAACTGTTTTGAGCGATTGGTAATTCAGGTTTCGATTACTAATGGTTTTTGGTTTGGTTAATCGAACCGAACCTCCAGCCCCAGTCCATCACTAGGATTTCGGTTTCTTTCATTCTCATGTTAAAGCTTTCATTTGGAGTTGTATATAACTCTCTCACTTTAACTCGATAACCCTCTGAAATGGGATTGCCAGCTCCTAAATCGGTGTACGATCTTTGATACTGCTTAGTTCTTAGGCTATGGCTGGATATTTTTTTAGGGTTCTTAGGATGGCTACATGGGATCTTGTATGGAACGACCTCTTCAGCCTTCAGCATTTTTAGTTTTTTTCATTTTCTTGTTACATGTTTGTGTAAGTATAACATGCATTCACACTTTTTGTGGAACTTGAAGGATCTATTGTGCTGCAACGTCTTCTTTCATTGCACTTTCACACAACAAAAATTTGACTTGGATTTCTCTTCCTCGTTTCTATGCACGCATGGTCCCTCTTCTTTCTGGATTTGTCAGGAACATGGGATTGCGCATGCCTTTATAGATCTCATATGTTTCTCTTCCTCATTTCTTTGCTGCGTTAGCTATAATATACGGTTCATCGTTGAAAAGTTTGTTTGAATACTATTGGCGAGTCGTTATAATGTACGTGTTTTCTTCTTGCCTTTCAGTCTCATCAAAACAATAGAGCGGTATGAGAAGAAGCAAAAGGATAATGAAGCAGGGAGCAAGGGGTTTGAAGACAACACACAGGTAATTAATTAAGGACAAAAACTGGGGTTTGTTAATGCATGTCTTTCTCTTTCGTTAATCTGTGCATGTATATACAGAATGACGACAGCTTCAGCATGGCAAAGAAGATTGAGCAACTCGAAGTTTCGAAGAGGTTGAAGCAGCTGCATGCCCTAGCTAGTTAATTATAACTGGTCTACGTAAACTCTTGGGAAGCCATTAATTAATCATTGCATAATAATATGATCGTGTATGGAATTTACTTCCCGTTTGCAGAAAGTTAATGGGAGAATGTCTGGAAACATGTTCCGTTGACGAGCTCAGAAAGTTAGAGTGCCAGCTTGAGAGAAGTATTATCAGAATCAGAGCAAGAAAGGTACGTAGCTAGATTGTGAATATAATTATCATCATCATCATCCATCACCTTTTGGTGTTCTCTATATATATATAGAACAATATTCTTCAATACTGATACCCTTTTTTCCACGTTGGGCTCTCCAAATCATCCTTTCAGACCCAGCTGGTTTTGGAGCAGATTGAGAAACTAAGGCAAGAGGTATATAATTAATATAATCAACCATATTAGTTAATTAGTACTCGGTCTTTACTCTCTCGTAATTAGCACAACTATCCAATTACTGACTATCGAAAGAGAAACAATTTGAACATTTCCAGGAGAAGACCCTAATGGAAGAAAACAGAAAGCTGCGGGAGAAGGTACATATATAATAACACTTTCCCTAGCTTGTTCAACCTCCAACTTTTCCTTTAGTTTCAACAAGTTAGCTATAGTCCTTGATTCTCTGTGGAAGCATGAGAACAATAATTCTACTTGTTTGTGGAACATATATACCTTCCAGTGCGGAGTAATGGAACCATGGAGATTGCCATCGGGCAACAAGAAGCAGCAGCAACTACAAGACAAGATCGTCGTTGCAGAAGCAGCAGCTGGAGAAGAAGAGGAAGAAGAAGAGGAAGAGGAGGAGAGAGAAAGTAGTATCGATGTGGAGACAGAGCTGTACATAGGGCCAGCACCATATAGAAGAAGAACAACAACCAAAACTCCTACCCACTACTAGAATCATTCCCACCAGAATTTCAATTTTCCATATATAACGGTGATGATCTCAAACCAAAAGATCTAACTGGGTACTTTTGTTTTTGTCAAGACCGAAAATCACCCACCATTTGTATCTGAGTCAGAAAGGTATTGCTGTCTGTCTGTATGTATGTATATCCATGGTTACGTTGTTGAACATATTTGTATTATTCCTTCCTGTATACAAAGTCAAATCTTTGATATATGGTTGTACCAAAGACTTTTAGAGGTTCATTGGTGAAGTCCATGCCAGTATATATATAGTTCTTTGGATGAATTCCACGCTCGCTTAGCTTCGTAGACAAGGCAGGCAACTTCCTTCCATTCCATAAAATCTCATCACTGATTTTATTCTGCTGAGATGGCGACAGTACAAACGAACGGAGTTTGAGAAGCCTCTTCAACGCCCAGGAGCCACTAGCATTGTTCGAGTCCCAGAACATGATTTCGTTTTCTAAGAATTTCGAGCGGTGTTCTACGAGGGTAAACTCGAAGTGATTTTCAAAGTACTTTATTTTATTATGGAGTAAATACAATATATAATATGAGCACTTCTACTATGCTATATAGTATTGGTACTTTAATGTACAACTTAAAGTTGTACCATAACATTAAATGTATAAGTTTAGGTTGTACCATAAAACAATTTGTACCATTATGTTATGGTACAACTTTACAACTTGAAGTTGTACCATCACATAAAAGTACAAGTTCGAGTTGTACCATAAAAGAATTTGTACAAAAAGTATAGGTACAATCTGAAGTTTTACCATAACGTAAATGTACAATTTTAAGTTGTACCATAAAGACAAAATCCTATAGCACCAATACTATATAGCATTGTAAAATTTCTCTATATAATATATTAGTCAAACTAATATTCTCCTGGGATAAAGAGGAAGAAGAAGGGTGGAAGAGTTGCAGTTGGGTGGGTGATGCCTTTAATTGAGCATGAGTTCTTTAATGTTGTAGGATGGAGTTCGGGATAAAAAAATGGGGTGGGGGTGGGGGTGGGGTGGGTTTTAATGGAGAAGGAAATTGAGAATTGGATTTGGCACCAATTTTCCCTCCAAAACCGAGTCAGCAACCAGGTAAGCCCATGTCAACGACGAACTGGCATCCTTTTTTTTCTCACTCCGTTATTGATCTGGGCGAAAAAAATGAACGGAAACACAGTTTAGAGAGTTGGATAGTACCTGATGCCCTATTTGTAGTTTAGTGATATCCATCCCCCAATTTTACGATTCAGTGGCACCCGAGGTATTTCTCCCTAGGGATGTAGATAGTCAGGACATGGTGGATGTTTAGGAAGGCAAGATAAAGATTATGCTCCATTTTTCAATTAAAAAGTTTGTGTCCATGGTGGTGGTTTTGGTGTGGGATTTGAATAAGTGATTTCGATACACTCTTTCATTCTTTCAGATTTTGAAAAAAATGACTTCTTTAACAAGTAGATGAAAAATGAGAGGTTTCAATATCGAGAGATTTCAAAAAGCTGCATCTGTTAAATTTTGAAACAATTATTATCTTTAAGCTATTTCAAAATCTCTCATTTTTTTATTTTTATCTCTTTCACATCTATCTCTCACTTTTTTCATGCACCATTAACGCTACCTCCTTACACTCCCAAACAAGAGATTTGATCCAAATCCTACATACACAATATATGATCTATACATAATATAATAGGCGGAAGGGAAAAACGGGAGCCCCATTTCAAAATCTCTGCTTCCAGAGCGTTTTGCGGAGGGGCAATTTTGGAAAGTAGGGAAAAATTGTTTCCCACGGCTGGCAGGTGCATCTGTTTCGGGTGGGCCTATTTTATGCTTCTCGGCCCAATCTATCTACAGTCTAATTTGTAGTGGCTGGGTATTGACAGGTATCTTTTTCGGTTCGGTCTCTCTCCCTGTAAACTTCTTCTCCGGCGAATCCAGGAACGAACAGAGGTGGCCGGGATTTTCTCTTCCTCAGTGAATCGAGGAGCATACAGAGGAATAGGGGGAGGGTCGACGGGTTCTGGGTAGGATCGACGGACGCTTTTCACTTTGTTGCTGAGCTTGGGAGTGGCGGAGGTGATGCGTGCAGGGAAGCGGCGGAGGGAAAGTCGGCGAATAGACTTCGAGTATGTTTCTGGGAAGGGAAAAAACGAAGGGTTATTTCTGGGCACGGGAATTGACGCATTTTCAAGAACATCGCTGGTTCAACGTTTTTGAGCAAACAGAAGATTCAAGCACATCCTCAACTGTACTTTAGGTCTGCACATCTTCATGCCCAAAAAACTCGGTCAATTTTAATACATGTTAATGCATTGATTTGTTCAAATATACTTACAGACGCTCGAGTGCTAACATGTCAGTGTGCTAAACTATTTATGCTTGGGAAATATGAGAACTTGAGTTTGGTAAAGTCAAGAGATGGGGTAAGTTATGAGCTTCATTTGGGTTGTTTCGTAACCTTAATTTCCTTGATTATTTGATATTCAGAGAATGTGTATCCTTCGACTAATGGAAACATGAGTTTTCTCAGCTTGAAAGTGACGGGTAAGTGATGAATTTCATTTGCTTTGTTCAATAACTGGTGGGTGTCTTTGTAATGCTGTTGGGTTCTTAGCTGTTTCCTTTAGTGAGTTAGATTCATGCCTTTGTCGCGATTGAATGATATTGTGCCTTTTTTGTTGTAAATTGATGGGAACTTTGGGTCAGGCTCACTATTTGTTCTTCAACTTTAAAGTTCTCTTGCATATCTCATAGCCGTTTAGGGAATCATCGCCCTTCATCTCTTACTTCTCAATGATTCTCCTTTCTGTGTTTTTAAAAGGTCTGTTCCGTGTAGTTTCTCCTTGATCTTCCAGTTATTATTCATTATTATTCTAAGGAGTTCCATTTAAACACAACATTTTAAAACCTATTTTGCATAAAAAGATCATTTTTAAAACCTACATCTGTTAGCTAAACTGAATGTTAAGAGACTTCTGTAATTTGGCTTTAACATGTTATATTTGTAATATCCATGTATATGTACTTCTTTGTTGTTAAAAGGTAATGTTGTTTTTAGGTTGGTAACTTTAGATAATTTGTTTCCCTTGATTAAAGATAAGATTAGACAGGCGAATGAAATGGATCAATTGGAGAAGCAGCATCAGCAGGATGTCAAGGAGAATATTCAAATAGCAAGAAAGAATCTCCATTCAAATGTGAGTTCATCTCAACCTTTCTCAAATCCAGTATCTGTTGATGTACGTGTTAATTGAGCCGTTTACATGATATACCTGTTTTCTGGTCTTCATTAGTACTATTCCGAGTTCTGTTTAAGTTGTGTGAGATGGAAGATTATGATTTCCATGTCTGATCAACTTTGGAGCTGTGGAAATGCAATATTGTATTTATGAGGGTGGCCCTGAGGATAATCACTAGGAACTTGCCCTTTGGTTTGTCTATGATTACGTATTTATATTGAATTTCCGAAAAAAGGATTCATTAGGGAATTCATACTAGCTAAAAGAGTAGTACGGTTACTGGTGAAGATATGAATATGGCTACGGTAGACTTTTATGCAAAGGCCCCTCTCTTTTGTTTTAAGTTTTTACTATTGAACAACTATGACGAGATCGAGAGGAGAAAGATTGCAAGAGCAAAACGAGACTGAATGATAAAGTAGATAGGGAAGAAGGCTTGCATTCATGAATCTCTTTCTAGAACTTAGGAATTTACTATCAGAGGTGGTAGTCGGTTCCATTTCAAGCCAACAGAACGAGGACAGATGATTGATTGAATATGCACTCTTGAACTAATGGTGCAAAGTCTTTGGAGTGGTGTCTTAGTCATTTCTAGGGAATTTCCTTTTTCCTGCTTTCATTTTATTACATTTTTTTATTAGCTATCTTATCAACCATATTTTTGTTCTCTTTTACTTTTTTCAGTTACATGATGACCGATGAAGGATGTGAAATGGATGACAAATATCTCTATTGCATCTCCTGCATCAGGAGAATAAACGGAGGGTTATGGTAGGTCACACATCTTTGATAGGCTATTTAGTTTCATTTTGGGATCAAACAAAGGAAGACTTGAACAATGAACTTAGAGAGCATCTCAAGGATTATTATTTCATATTTTTCAAATTGAAATTCTCCTTTGGTCTTCACATGAATTTGTTTTGATATGACTATAGTAGATCCTATATCATTCCATCTTGGATCCATTAGCCTGTATAACGTGGACGATCTTTATTTTACTTAATTTTAATCGTGGTGGTTAGATGTTGACGAGAAGGTTCGTTGTTCTTATATTTAGTAGGATCATGGAAAGACCAACAAACATGACAAAGTAATTGTGGAGTAATTTTTCAACTGAGGGCAATTGATTGTTGGCTATGATACGGAGAGTTGTTACTTGATTGTTACAATGACCACTCATTTTTTAAGTGAAAATATTACACTTTACTGTTTTGTACCTAACTAACATGGTGAACTTTGATTGAAAGGAAATATATTTCAATTTTTTTATTAACTCGAGACTCGATTATTTCACTACCTTTGCCGACCAAAGTTTTGGATTCCCTTTCAATGAATCACTAATCGCTTGCTTACGAATTAGCTGTTATTGATACATGTACTTTATTTATTCAAAAGTAAAAAATTACCATCTAACCACAAATATTATTGGTTGAAATGTGGTGGCTTCCTAAAAAAAAAAAATTATTGCTCGATTGGTAGACATATCTCACATGCATCAGTCCATTGATTACAAAATAGAAACTAATACATTTGTTCAAGTTCAATAACTATTGCGGATCAATCTGTTAGTTTATTATCTCTTTTTTTTTTTTGACAATAGATAATCATATATTGATCAAGAAAAATAGTTAAGTCCTGGACACCAGCCAGGCCCGGAAATCAAAAGAAAGACCCATAGTCGGGAACAAAGAAAGGGCTTTACGAGCCACCAAATGGGCTACCCTATTGCAACGCCGACCTACAAATCTAACACTAAAACCTGGATTCCCGGTGAAAATTTGAATAACCTCCTCCAACACCGCACCCAAACGACCATCCCGAGCGTCTTTAAGATTGATTTTATCAATGATAATCTGCGCATCGCCCTCAAAAGTAATATCCGCCCAACCAAACGACTGACACCACCGAACAGCCTCCCGCAGCGTAACTAACTCCACCACCAATGGGTCCTCAATCCAAGGAAACTGCACCCCTTTCGCGAGCATTATCTGCCGATCCTGGGTTAGGAGGACCAGACCTCCCGCCGAATGAGATCCACTCCGAACGGCACCATCCCACATGCAAATGAACCCTTGCCCTTGTCCCCCAGCGACCACCCGGCGGTTTGGCGCACCCTGAGTACTATAAGGAATACTATCCACCGGAAGCCGGATCCACTCCTCATACTGCTGATGGAATTGGCGCATCAGGGCAGAGAACCCGAACTGCTTGCCCTCAAAGACAACCCAATTTCGAGAACGCCAAATGCGCCATAAGATAGCTACCACCGGCATAATATCATTAGGCTGATTAAGCAACGATATCAGCCTTTTAAGAAATAAGGGAAACGTATGACGAGGCAGCCCCTCCCCGAGGTGAGCCAAACCAGCATAATCCCAAAGGGCCCTCGCAACCGGACAATCCAGGAAGAGGTGCTCCATGGTTTCAGACTCAGCCCAACACACCGGACATCTGGGATGGACCGGGACCTTCCTCTCTATAAGGGCCTCCGTGGTAGGAAGAAGCCGATTTAGGATCTGCCAGAGAAATATCTTCAACTTTGGAGGGATCTTGGCTTCCCAAACTCGAATCCAGCTTGCCCTATCCATCCAACTGACATCAGCTTTCCACTTCCCCAGCCGTTTATCTAGAGCAACCGCTAGATGATAAGCCGACTTGACCGAGAAAACCCCATCTGGGGAATCATGCCAAATTAACCTATCCTCTACCGACTGCCGAGGGAGAGGTATAGCTTTTATGGCCCTGCATGTTGGTGGGTCAAACCATTGGCTAAGCGCTCGATCATTCCACTTCCCTTCCCCTTGACAGATTACCTCCTCAACCTTCACGTCACCCTCCATGGGCAACACCTGAGGATTAAAACGAGGAGGGTCCAACTGGAAGGAAGGAATCCAATTAGAATGCAATAGCGAGGCAGACTTCCCATTCCCAATTTGCCACTGCAAACCTTTCTCCAGTAAATTCCTACCATAAAGGATACTTTGTCATCCCCATGAAGGACGAGAGCGAGGCATCGCAGTCAAAAAAGAACCCCCTGGGAAGTATTTACCTTTATAAACCTGGGCTAGCAGGGATTGAGGCTCCATAAGAATATGCCAACCAATTTTGGCTAATAAAGCTTGATTAAATTGCTCAAAACGACGGAACCCCATCCCACCCTCATGCTTACTTCGACACATATTTTTCCAGGACATCCACTGAATACGACCCTGATCCACAGCATCCCCCCACCAGAAACGAGCCACATGTTTGTCCAATAGCCGACACAAAGCGGCCGGAAGTCTAAAACAGGACATCACATGTAACGGCAACGCCAAGGCGATGGATTTTATCAAGATCTCCTTCGCCGCCCACGACAAAGTCCTTTGCTTCCACCCTTGAATGCGCTCTAGTAACTTCTCCTCGAGATACCGGAAGGTCTCCATCTTGGAACGCGCGATCAACGTGGGTAGTCCCAGATACTTATCATGCACTCCTACCGCACCCACTCCTAGGATATCAGCCAAAACTCCTGATCTGCCCTGACAATGTTTTTACTAAAACAAACAGCAGACTTATCCAGATTCACCCGTTGGCCACTGAGTTCCTCATATTCATTCAAAACCTCTATCAAATTTTCACATTCCTGGAGGGTACCTCTCAAAAACAGATAAGAATCATCCGCAAAGAACAAGTGAGAGATACGGGGCGCACGCGGAGCCACTTTCACCCCCTCTAAACGTCCCTCTCGGATTGCTTGCCGTAGGAGGGCCGCAAAGCCCTCCGTACAGAGCACAAAAAGCAACGGGGACAGAGGGTCTCCCTGCCTCAAACCTCTGGAATACGTGAAAAACCCCGAGGGGGTACCATTCATGAGCACCGAGAAAGAAGCGGATCGCAGGCACTCGTAGATCCACTCTTTCCAGGTAGAGTTAAAGCCCATTTTATCCAAAATCGCAAGAAGAAAGGACCATTCGACTCTATCATAGGCCTTTTCCATGTCAACCTTTAAAGCCATGTATCCTTTCTTGCCCCGAGTTTTGATTTTCAAATAATGCATTAGCTCATTACCCAAAAGAATGTTCTCCACAATCTGCCGGTCCCTTATAAAAGCATTCTGCCCCTCCAAAATGATTTGAGGTAACACAGTCGCAAGCCTCTCTGCCAGAATTTTGGTGATAATCTTATACACGAACTGGCAAAGGCTGATAGGCCTGAGTTGCCGCATAGATTCCACTTTATCAACCTTCGGGATTAACGTGAGCCAGGTGTGGTTGAAGCTCCGGAGTAGACGACTAGTTGTGAAAAAAGAACACACCGCGTCCACCACTGAATTACCCACAATATCCCAGAAGGTTTTGAAAAACTTCCCCGTGAATCCATCCGACCCCGGAGCCTGCTTAGACCCCATGGCAAACACCGTCTTCCGCACATCACTGGGGAGAACTTCTGCCGTAAGGCTATCATTCATCTCCTGGGTAACATTACAGGCAATAGGCAGCTCCGCCACCCGCTCAGCCATGTTATTCACTTGATTCTCCGTCGCGAAAAGGTGCTGATAAAACGACGTCGCAACGGTAGCCTTCCCCTTCTCATCAGTAACCCAGTTACCAGTCTCATCACGAAGACCCTCTACAAAATTCTTTTTCCGCCGAGTCCTGGTCACCGTATGAAAATACGCTGAATTTTTATCACCCTTTTTCAGCCAGTGAACCCTAGACTTCTGTTGCCAGTATTCCTCCTCCGCCTCCCACTGCCGATTTAATTCCACCTCCAAATTTCGGACTTCATCCCAGTTAATAGGTTGGGTTAGCTTAACCCTATCAAGTTCACTCTGGAGAGTCCTGATATTTCGGAGGGAATTCGTGGTCCCAGCCCTGCTCCAGTCATAGAGCAGGTGGCGGAGTCTTTTTAGTCGCTCCCACAGACAGAACATGGGGGTCCCCTGAATCTCCTCTTTCCAAACATAACCAACCATAGCCCTAACTTCTGGGTTATCCGCCCATCTGGCATCAAACCGGAAAAGAGGGCGAATATTGCGAACATAGGGCTTGTCCGAGAGGAGGAGAGCTCTGTGATCGGAGCCCTGGTCTGTGAAGTGTTTCACCAAGGTCTCCGGAAACCGGTCAACCCAACTCTGGGAACACAGAGCCCTATCAAGCCTCTCCCTAATGCAGGCCGCACCCATCCTTCTATTAGTCCAAGTGAATGGCTCACCCAGGAAACCCGGGTCATGGAGCCCTAAGTCCTGGATAAAATCCCTCAAGCAAACTGATTGAGCAACATTCCAAGGATTCCCTCCATCTTTTTCACTTATACGAAGGGTGGTGTTAAAATCACCAATGATCACAAACGGGAGTGTAAAGGTAGAACAAATCCCACGAAGGTGCTCCAACTGAGAAGCTCGAACAACAGAATTGCAACTAATATAAACAAAAACAACAATATACGAGAAATTATCTTCATTAATCTGGGAACAAATACAGAATTCCGAATGATAAAACACCGAAGCATCAACTCCGGGGGACCAAGCTACTACAAGACCACCAGATGCATCAACCGCATCAACATAAAAACAATGAGAAAAATCAAAACCTAGGCCCCTCATACGACGGGACACAACACGCCGGCTCGATCGTGTTTCCGAAAAAAACACAAGATCCGGTTTATTAGAACGAACTAAACCAACAGCAGTTTGGAATGTGAGGGATGGCCCAATCCCTCTCACATTCCAGGCAAGAAGCCTCATTTATCAGACTGGGGCCAATTTAGGCTGGCTTCCTCCACCTTTTCATGATCGAAAACATCAGTAGCTTCAACAAACTGCTTCTTGGGCGTTGGAGATGATCCAACTTCACCATCGACAGCCGCCAAGGGTCGTTTCCTGGTAACAAACACTGAACCTGTCATGTTGGACCCATATTCATCAAATACCTCAGCCCCCGGATTCAGAATCCCATCTTGGACATCAAGCTGGGCAGCAGTAACATGCCCCTCGATCAACCCTTCATCAAGTACTGCATCAGCCTGAACGGCTTTGCCCACCATGCCCTGCCCATCTTTCACCGATTGGGGCAGCGGGGCCCGTTTCCTTATTTCAAAACATTGATTGTCCACATCCATCCCTGACTCCTCCGAGGCACTCGCCTCATAAGCCAAAGTATCATCCAGCGTGGCAGCCGCGACCCTCCCTGCTGTCATCGCCTTGTCATTTTCAATAGACGCTGCACGGGCAGGTGACATCGGGTTTAGAATAGTTTTTGCACTACCCTGGGCTTGCCCTTCATCTCCAAGCAGACCCTGAGCCGGCCTGTGTTTTCTAGCCTCTCAACGCTTGTCCGAGACCCGCGCACCTCCCTCCCCTACAACCTGCTCTTCCACTGCCGCTGTGTGCGACGCCTCAGCCGGAGTTTCTTTCCCTGCTTTGGAATATCGGGTATAGGAGCCAGGTCCTTAGCGGAGACCACAGGCGGCACCAACTCATTAGACGGTTGGATCGGGCTTTCACAGGCAGTTATCCGGGACGGAGCGATCATGTCATCGTCTGAATCGTCCTCCAGTATGAGCCGCCTACGCCGGGAAGCCTCCACCGTCTCTGCCTGCATCTCGACCGCTGAGGGGTGCGGTTTCAGCCGAGACGGTTGCTGAGTATGATACCCTTCCCCGCCCAGCTTGCCGCGGGCTCCCGGTTTTGCCATCTCCTTGATCATACCCTTCCGCTTTTGCTTTCCTCCCTTCCCACCAATTTGCAACTTAGGTGGTCGATTCATAGCAAAGCCCTTGGGGCTATGGCGGCGGGCAGGGGACCGCTCCAGCTCCCTATGTGCGAGCATCTCATCCACAGCTCGATCCTCTCTCCCCAGGCTTTTAGAGGTAGGCCCATCATTCTGGGCCCGAAGCTTGTTCGCTGGGTGGGCCCGATCCAACTCCTCATTGACAGTGGAGGGCTTCGGCCCTGTTTCGGTTTCCCTGCCTGGTTTTTGGCGATTGACCCAAACGGAACTCCTCGATCCCCCTGCTGTCATAGACTGATCATCCTCATCATAAATTTGACGACCCACTTTCTTGGTTGCCATATGGGGGCCGAATCGTTCCCTTCCTTTTGGCGGATTGAAATCACAGTCCCTTCGAGCATGGCCTACCCGACCACAGTGGAAACAGAAGCTGGGTAGAAATTCATACTTGAGGCTCACCCAGAATCGATCGGTTTCTTCGCTAACCGCCATCAATTGGGATCGAAGTGGCTTAGCAAAGTCCACCATAGCCCGCACTTTGATAAAATGTTCTGTTGTCTCAGTCGAGGAAAAAAGTCTTGACTCAAGAACTTGGCCAATAGTAGCAGATATGAATTTTTGACCAAACAGCCTTGTGCGACAATCATTTCGCACTCCCCAGAGTTGTATCCTGAACAGCACCCTCGACATCCCCTCAAACTGCTGCTCGGAGATTGTCGGCGACCAGACGCGGAGGGTGAGCAACTTATCCTTGATAATCCAAGGGGTACGTGCCAACGCCCACTTCTTTGCTTCTTCATTTGGCAAGACAATCTCATACAGTCCAAATTTGGTATTCGAGACTTTGAGATGACCACGGAGTTTCCAAGCATCGAGTAGCTCCTCCCGCAATTCCATAGTCGTCATCCGCTCCTTGGTAAACAGCCTCCCCAAGATGGTACGAGAGGCCCGAAACCTGGCTGATTGTACCTCTTCCAAGGAGAACTGGACTACTTGTTCGTCAGCAACGTTTTTCATCCTCCTCTGTTCCTGCCAAAAAGACGCACCAAACAAGTTAGTATGCGTCTCCGCACCCCCTAGCAGCCCTTCTATTGATATCAGAAGGTTCTGTCCCAGAAGAGAAGAAAGTTGCGCCACAGGGGGATTGGTAGAAACAGTAGGAATTATCGACGACGTCGCCGAGTCCCGCCTTTCCTCCGTACCTGGGCTTTCCTTTGCAACGAGCTTCGGAGGCAACAGGGTAACAGGAGAGCTATCGCCTCTTCTTTGGTGGAAGAAAGTTAGGTCTAAGCTCCCCTTCAGGAAGGAATTAAATACAACTCCTTTCCCCCCTACCCGAGTATCTCGCAAGGGAAGGATTGTAGGCCGGGTGTGAATTCGACGCGGAGACGGACTCTTCCCCCTGACTAAACAGTTACGGGTGGTCTCCTTATGTCTCCGGTGAAATCGGGTAAAGCTATAATTTCCCAATAATCCCGCAAAATCAGGGATAGATTTTGTTCCAACCGTGGCTAATCGGACTTCCAACGGCTCACGGAATTTTTAACATAGCTCATGTTTGATAATTTTCCAAAGCATAGGGTATGGTTGATGTAAAAAATAGTAGAGTGGCATGTTTGATAAAACTACATGATAGAGGAACATATTATACCTATAACCCTTTTTTACCATTCTTACCACTTTATCTTTTAGCACAGGCTGATATCTAGAGTGTGTATTCCTATTTCCAATCTATGACCACCCATGGATTCCCACCTAGGTCATCACTACATGGGATGGAAGTAATGACAACATTGATGGTCATGTTGTTATTGTCAAAGATTGTATGTGTTTAACATCTTTCAATCACTCCAAAAGAAAACATGATAGTTTTATTATCATTCCTTTTTTTCATGCGAATGTTAACTATGGTGAGAAGATAAAACAAACCAGAAGGACATATATACTATGTTTTCTTCCTCTTAAATGTGTTTCATGCCTATATATTTTGCAAACAAGCTACATTTGGATTCTCACCAATATTTTAGTCTCCATCTCAATTTGAATAATTAAATTTGTATTTCTTTTCACTTCCAAATTTTAATCTTTCTTCTAATTACTTTCGCAACTATAAGGGGGTTTCCTAATCATGGAAACCTCTTATTCAGTTCGAATTGAAGTGTTGTCCTCATCTGTCTGGTAGATACAATGAATATTTGCTAGATGTTCAGTTTAATTAACTCAAAGTAGGTCTCATTTTTGCAGTTTTCTTTGGTATCCTAAACATCGAAACAAATTCACGTCACTTATTCCCTATTCCATTACCAACTAATGAAAAGTGGCTAATGAGATGCTACCCTCACAATATACATGATCCAAGAGCATTATTACGTCCATATCAATAATCGGGTCAACTACCTCCGACCAACGAGTCGGGTTATAAGCTAGTTTTCTTAATAAGAGATAGGACCCAAATCTCTCGTTAACCCATTTACTATATCCAAACGAATGGCGGAGCAGTACTTGGTCGTGTTGGATTGTAGAGATGATATGGAAGGAAGGATACAAGTACGAGCGAAGGAGAGTTTTTTTTGTACTACTCAAAGAAATGGCCAGCTGGTCTTAGCTTAATTCAAGGAAGAAATTGGTTTGATGCATAGGTATATGATTAAGGACGAAGAAATTTATTTGATGCATAGGTATATCAGTTTCATGATTAAGGTCATCAGTTGACTCCGTCCAAAATCTAAAGTCAAATCAAAATAGGATCGAACGACACTACAAAAAAAAAAAAAAAAAACAGCTTATGGCGTTATTTTCAAATGTCGCTTAAAGATGTCAAAATGTCGGTTTAGTTTTGCGCCGACATTTACAAAAAAATGACGGCTAATTGTATCGAAATGTCGTTTTTTATTTTGTCGCTTAAAGTTACTGCGACATCTACAAAAAATGTCGGTACCTACATTATCCGACATGTATTTCGACATATGAAAATGTGACTATAGAACCTTGTGACATCTACAGAAAATGTTGGCACATATATCTTCCGACATTTCATTTAGACATATGAAAATGTGACTGTAGAACCTTGCGACACCTACAGAAAATGTCGGTACATATATCTTCCGACGTTTTATTTTGACATATGAAAATGTTACTATAAAACCTTGCGACATTTACAAAAAGTGTTGGTACACATATCTTCCAACATTTTATATCGACAGATGAAAATGTGACTGTAGAACCATGCGACATTTACAAAAAGTGTTGGTACATATATCTTCCGACATTTTATTTTGACATATGAAAATGTGACTGTAGAATCTTGCAACATTTACAATAAACAATCCATATCTACATTTTACGACATATCAAATTGTCTCTATAAACTTTACGACATTTACTAAAAACGTTGGCATCCACATTTTTCGACATGTATTCCGACATGTTTCAATGTTGCTACATATCTTTATATCGACATTTATAACCATCACCTTAATTTTCTAGCATCGCTTAATATTAAAAAAATTAATTATCATTGTTAAATTCAACCAAATGTTGTGACACATAAAAGTCTCAGTATCTCAATTTCCGACATTTATGTTGACACAAAAAATCACTATATAATTTATTGGCGACATTTACAAATATTATTTAAACAATTTTATTATACTATATATTTGATGCTTGTGAAGACATTTTATTATACCTACATATTGGCCCATTTTAATATAACGAGGATACAATTAATGAGAAGCAACACTATACAAGCACTCCAACAAGTAAAGACAATTTATTGATAATTGTCGATATTGTATTATTATAAATTGTAATGCTACCCGAAGTATCATCGAAACTTCTTTCTCCTCTCGTCCTCTTCCAATATCCTTCCTCAAACCAGATCAACGTTCTGTCTCTGACCAGTTCCATCAAGAATTTTGTCCTTGTTCCAGAGTGACTAAATGGAGCTAACTAATTCCTAAACAAAAAAATGGAGCTACCTAATAAAACTATGTGGTCAATTCTATGAGAAGGAGCTTCCTGAACTTCAAAAGTGCCTCTGAAGTATTGAGAAACCTGTCGAAAAAGGTTTGCACTTATCAAGATTTGGAAGTTACAGAATAACTGGCAACCTTAAAGAAAATCAAACCATATAATAGTATTTTACTCATTTGATTTCAATTTGGAATGAGTATTTAGTTATCATTTTATGCTTAATTGAAATAGTGGAGATTATGTTGAATAGGATTGTAAGCTCACACTCAAAACTCAATAAGTATTAGGAGACTCAACAATATACAATTTCTAAGTTGTTTAGATGAGAACTATGGACAAAACCTCTAACCATATGTAGACTATATTTCTCATAGATTAACTCAGTGAGAGAGGCTTGAGGAAAGCATGCAGTTACAAAGATGGAACGATCCATTAGCCATGTTGGCACCTAACAACAAAGGCCTCAATATACCTCGTCCGATAAGCAAACGTTCGACTACAAAAACATACTTAGAGATATCATTGGACTTCAAGAAAGATCATTCAGGACCCTAGGTCAGCGCCCTAATACATATGGTTGGAGGCAAATAATTTGTACTCACTACAAACTTAATGAACACACAAATATTCCAAGAAAAATGGCTAACACCTGGATAAATGCCAAGATTAAACAAAAATCATGCAACTGAAGGGTGATCACTGGCTCACCTTGCCATTGGATCACCTTGGGAAGATACTGTTGCACCTCAGCAAGATATTTTAGATAGATTTTCTCGTCATAGCTAACTCAGGCACAGTATGCACTGCAAGCATATGCCCAGTATGCTCCCAACATTTCATCCACCTCTTAGATTTAGAACCAGCCTTCACTCTTGGCCCCGCCCAAAAGAAAACACACAATAGTTTTGTTTTAGAGCCAAATCGATAAGTACAGTTGTACAAATGCAAGGAACCAAGTAGTATGAACCTATGTTACCCATCAAAATGAGCTTTACACTGAGTGATCATTTCTACTTTCTAAATGAACTTGAGCTGGTCAGATTCCCAATACTCAAAGAATGTGCTCAACTCGACTTTAGTGGATGCATATATTTAGTAGACTAACTAGATCTGAAGGCATTTTGCTTTAGATGCAATTTGGAGTAAAGAATAGAAACTGTCATCCTAGCTAACTAGAATCCCACCATCCCAAAATACTCATCAGTTATAGGCTCAGAGGCAAAAACAAGCAAAAATGCAACAACATACATGCCCATACAATGACTGCCCATATTTTCAGATAACAAATTCAAGTCACAATTAGTTTCTTCTACCAGCTTGCATAAGTAGTTAACATAAAGCCAAGCAAGAGTTTGGAGAAGAGACTTACTGGAACTGGTATTTACAAAAGAAGAACAGCAAGCAATTCTTGTCATTCGCTCTCAGATTTTCTAGAAACTTATATTATTTGCTGGGCACGAAATGTGAGTGGTAAGTTCACCGTCAATCAGGATATTTTATGAAACTGCACAGAGAATATGAAGAAGGTAGTGGAGGGATGAAGGGTCGGTCGAGTAATGAGTTATGCTGGAAGAAAGGGATAATTTCCTTTTCAATAACAAATTTCTTCATGAAAGGGAGGTGTTTCCAAAAGCTGAAAGATACATTCAGGACTTTCTGAAAGTTCAGGGGAAGGATCAGACACCAAGGAGCAGAGAAAACAGTAGAGAAAGTAAATGGGGGAAACCTTCTATGGGAGTTTTTAAGCTCAATACAGATGCATGAGATAGCAGAAGAGGAGGTTCGGGACTGAACTGTGTAAAAGGAATTGGTTGGTAAAAGTGGGTAGCAGAAGAGGAGGTTCAGGCCTGAACTGTGTTAAAAGGAACTGGTTGGTAAAAGTGGTCTTCGCTGCAACACGAATAGAGGGGAAGATGTGAAATTCCAGAAGTGACAGAAGGAAGAGCTATTCTATTGGACCGAGTAAGGCAACTAAGAAGGGCATTGGCTCTCTCATAGTAAAGACATACTGCAAAAGAATGGTTTACTTGCTGAAGGGATTTCTGAATGCACAACAGAATCTTGGAACGTCTGCAAGAATATCAAAGCTGAGTGTGCAGGCTGATGTAAGGAGACGGAACTTTGTCCATAGGGAAACGAACAAGGTGGCACATACCCCTTGCCCGCTTTAATGTTACTGCTAGTTCTTGTGAATCTGTCTGGAATGACTGTACCCCTTCTATGGTGGCGGATATTGTAGCCTTTCAGGCAGATGGCGACTGATCTCTTTCGATGGAAAGCTTTATTAGGGTCTTCTAGAAAAAAAAAAAGATAAAGGAGGAATGTTTGTGTTGATTGAGCCTAAAACATATAGGATGTGTAATCCTAGTACTAAGAAAGTACCCGTGAGCAGTGAAGTTGTGTCCGATGAGATGCATATTGGGTCTGGAATTCAGGAGTCACACCAATTGTGACTAAATTGATATGGGAAGACTGTAAAACTGAACTATGTACTGGACTTAGATAGAAAAGCTCAATCAGGCCTTACACTGAACTAAAATGAATCAGATTCCACTGGAAGAATCAAACAGAAAACAGAGGTATAATTTATCAAGTGAGAGCTGGCAAATATGAACCTTACCCGTCTAAGATTTATCGCACTCAAATTCATCAAGCAGAAGGGTGATGGGTTTGGTTGATGGATTTCTGAAGAATCCTCAATCAGTAGTTTCTTGTCTTGCAATCTCTAATCTCTAGCCTGTCATATAGTTACCAAAAAGTTGCACCCAAACCAGAATTCAGCACCTAAGTATTTTATCCTACATTTTAGATCATTTACAAAAGCAAAAGCCATAAAAGACCATCGAATGTAAAAGTTACTAACCAGTTAAGAAGGTCACTAGGAAGTACCTTGTTCTAGAATCTCAATACATAAATTAGGGAGCTAGCAACGATAGAGTAATCGAGAGTCGAGAGGAGCGGAAGTTGACTCATTCACCCCTCCAGCATTGATCAGACCTTTTAAGCTTGTGCATTGATTTCTATTCTGTGTAGGCAGGCCTGGAGAGACGATGAATGGGATGTATCTTGCTGAGCTGGTGTTTCACTGCAATTATTTATACAGTTACGTGAAGGAATTGGTTATTGGAGTGTTCTTTCTTCTCTTCGGTTTTGACCACATAAACACACACAAAAAAACTCAATAGGCCGAGTTTGACAAGATTTTTTTTGTAGTAGACGACTTTGCTGAAACAATACAAGACTCGGAGCAAGTCAAGTTGGCTGGGGAAATTAATTCCTTAACCTACATATGCAGAATTTGATTTGATTCCAGAAAATGTTTCTGCAGAACTGTACCTGATGATTTCTTGTCTCTCCTTCGTCTCTTGTCGCAGTTGTTCTCCGGAGAATCCAGCTGGAAGCGGAACAGAATACGAGCAATTCTAGTTGGAGAAACAGAGTACGAGCAATGCTGCATTTAGAAGTCCAGCTACAGCAACTGCGTTGCAGATCTATCCCAAAAATAGCAAGCATCCAGAACAACCTAATTATAAGCAAATGAATGAGGTATCTGAAGGCTGCACATGCATAAACAAATTGCCTACACAATGGAACCTGAGCTTTTTTAGTAAACATGGAACGTCAGGGTCAATATCCTTCTAAGGGAACCGAAAGAAAATACAGAGCATCCCTATATTGGAAACTTAAATCAAATAACAAAGCTTAACAACATACCGCAGATAGCTGCTTATTAAGGCTGCCATTTGCATTAACAATCCAGTAGCCGGATGCGCCTGATGACTCTGCAATTGAACTAAAATAAATAGAATTCCCCTTGTAATTGAACATGGGAAGAGATAGCAAACAAATCCCAAAACAGGGAGCTAAGCATATACACCTATGAAGAAACATTTCAGCTACAATTCGCAGACTTAGATGGGGCAAACATCTACCTCCTCCAAGCATAACGACGCTTCGCCGCCGAGCATTCTCTTCAATCTGTGAAAGCGGCGTTGAACAAGAAATCGAGTGTCAATGGCCCTGGACCGAGCCTTCTCTTCAATCTGTCGCCTTCCCTTAGAAACTTGGCCGCCACAAAATAAGAGCCGCTTCCTTCAAAACTAACGAGCTGCGCTGCTTCTTTTTTTGATTAATTGATCTCCCGAAAGAATAATTTAGCCCCTTGTCAACAACTGTTGAAGTTGACTAACTCCAGATAATGATGAGAAGATGCACCCCCGCAGCAGCGACTTGAATTTCACACGAACAGAGATTCCGATGCCGAGTCCTCCAACGGTGCGAATATGAAGATCTTGGAATCTGATCTCGTAGCGGTGCTGGGAGCTCTGACGAAGATGGGAGAAAACCTTCAATAGACAGAGAAAAGTTGAGGTCGAATATGGCGAGCTCGACGGCGTAGTACTCGAGTTATCGCGATGAGAAGTGCAAATCGCCTCTGGTCAAGCAAGTAAGGTCGGAAAAAAAGAGTTGAAGAAATCGAATTATCAATGGTTATTGGGCCGTGATGAGCCCGTCGATAATCATAAGGCTGGCAAGTCCGCGTCTAAGCCCACATATGAAAGCAATGTTTTCCAAAGTATGCGCTGTGCGCAAGTAAAAAATAGTAGTGTATGTAAATTGTAATTAGAGAATTACCGATAAAAATTGTAATTAGAGAAATTCATTATTGAATCAACCAGATATTGCTCACTCTCATTCAGTCATTTGTGTTAATATTTCCACAAGTAGAGCATATTCTTCTTGTGATTGGAAAATGATAAAAATTAGGGCGGGTAAACGGTTATCTTGGTAGCTAACCGATAATCGAACCAGAACTGATGGTTAACCTCTTCATTGATAACCGATTAAACAATAAATGATCGGTTTTTTATATCCAAATGCAGTTAATTACTAGCCGAAGATTAAATAATAGTAACTGACAACTAAAAGGTTAATCGACTAACTGATTACGTCATCATCATAGTCGGTTAAACGGTTAACCGACTAACTGACAGGAAAGGTAGAGGAAGGCTCGATCAGGGGATATTCACGAAGCGTGGGTGGCGAGCTTTGGAAATCTTAATAACATAAGTGCAGTTAGCTCTAAAAAGCTTGGAAGTGAAAGTGCGACGGTCGCAGAAATCTAAGAGCAAAACAAAGCTTCATCGCTTACTCGCTAGGTGGGTTGGCCGTTGCCTTGATGGAGGTGCGTCGAGAAAGGGAGAGACCCTTATTTAGCAGTCTAACATATCCATTTTTCTTTGACAAATCAAAACCTGAAAGGAAACTTAAGGGTTTGTGGTTTTGAAACACAGCCGCGATTCGGATTGATAGTTAATGAGTTGTTTTCAAATACTAATATTGAAATGTAATTTTAGTTAGTTTGTTTCTTTTCTAATCTGTATCGACCATGTCATAGTAGAAGTTTTTATTCAATTATTATTTTGTGTGAAAATAGAATGTGTTATACAATATTGAAATCCATTATTGATTTGTTAATTTTTTTTTATAAATTATATTAAACCTATTAGGCTAGAAATTTGTAGTTTAGATTTTTATTTTGAGTTATTTTGATAATCTTAAAAAATACATTTATCATAATATTTAAATATTTTTCTTTTATTATTTCAATCAACTTTAACGTATTTTTACAATAATAGAGTAAGAAATTCGACCCCAAATACTAAACCCTGGCTCCGTCCCAATTTGATACCCCGCAATCAATAACTAATTTTCTAAATTATTATTATAAAAAGTTGGAGTAAAAGATGATCCAAAATTCCCGTTATATGTAAGCAAAACTATTTATCAGTGCCCTGTAAGTCTGTAACCAAGGTCCAACCGGCATTACTGAGTCAAGGTGAAGGGTAAAACTTAAAAGCAAGGGAAATAAAGGGGAAATGAATCTTACCCTTGCCTTATCCCTTATCTCATTCTTCCATTTTCTTTCCTTTTACACGTATCATCCATGCACCCAAGCTACTCTAGTGTCCCCGCGTAGCTAACCTCATCAATTGGGGAAAGAATGAAATAAGTCAAGTGGCTAAACCAAAAAAATGAGCAGTAGGAGATGGGGGTTTTCATTAAAAAAGAGAGATGATCCTATTCTCACCCTTTCTAGAGACTAAAAGAAGAAGAAGGGGAAAAAAAAAGTTGAATCATTCTTATAGTTAGAGGCTGCCAATATCAACTTTTCATCTCCAATCCCGCTTAGAGAGAATAATGTTGGGTGAATGATTTAGTATGTGGTCTATTTATCGCGCAAGGAATCCTTTTTAACTTCTCGTGGTGATATTATTTAGTTGATTATGTGTAATACAAATAAAGAGGATTATGATCATATACCCTTTTATATATATATGGCAAAGGCTAGCGTACGTCAGGCGTACGTTGTACGCTTGTGTTCACACTTATAAATAAATTATTAATTATCTTTACTGTAATTATAATTAAATTATCACTAATAATATTTTGAATATCAACCATAACCATTAATTAATTATTGTGCTCGTTTTAGTCCTCCATGAAATTTTACCATTCATTATGTTCAAATCAATCATCTAAGTTGTTAATATAAAACGTATAGTACATTTTTTCTAGATCTGTAACTAAAACACCCAAAGTTTATGTTTAGATTTAAAATCCAATTGCCCTCCTCAAACATTTCATCCAATTTTCTCTTGCATTTTGTCCAACCAAACTCTCGGTGCCCTAGCCTGAATCTGCCGAAATTGTGCATGACCTACCTCATCCACCTCCTTTCCGTGCAGTTCTCCGCCGGCAGGCCTAATTCCGGAAAGCTCTTGTACATCAGAGTCACAGGGATAACGTGTAAATTTTCCCAAGAAACCGAGCCTAGAAATTCGCTTCAAGCTTCTTCTTCTTCTTGTCGACTCCGCCGGCGTTTAGAATCAAATTTCTGACGAACATCATGCACATCGTGTGCAAAGCTCGGAGCATCCAGGAAGACAACATCGACCACACAATCAGGGGCCTGTACTTTTTAACCAGATTACCGAAGTGATCGTTGATTTACTCTCAGAGTGAGGCAGAGCCCGCTGAGAATGCTAGGTATGTACTCCGTTTCGTAATTGCATCGTATCCCAACCATTGATATATTTTACATCGACATTTTCAGTGTTGTGCTTCTGCAACTTCATCTAATAGAAGATAAACAACACCCAAAAAAGAATTCTTACATTAGATTGCAAGAGAAACCAGCAATCAAATCCTCCCAGAGACCCACAGAACAACTGGAATTGCACAAAAGATAGAAGTTGCAAAACCTTCAACAATCGTTTCTATAAGGCCCGTCATTCTGACCATTCTCCTTCAAGTTACAAATCGATCCCGTCTTCGAGCACTGCTCCTGTTCTGGCTCACCGTCCTATACGACCCAGTCTCCCACCACAGCCTCATCCCCTCCGGCTTCCGCTTCTCTGGAAAGATCCCTTCTTTCACCCTAACCTCCGCCCACTCCAGGGCAACAACTTCTCCGGCAATCCCCAACCTAATTTCCACCCTTCCTTTCTCTCACTCTCCTCAACGTCCCTTTCAATTGCTTCTCTGGTCAAATACCTGATCGCTTGACTGGCGTCACCTCTTTTACCGGTATTGACCTCACGACCAACCATCTCGAAGGAAAAATCTCCAACGCTTGCCCAGTTGATTGCACTCGCTTATCTCTCAAACAAATACCCTCTTAAGCATCTTCCCTCTCCGCTATGTCTCCTCCACTTGCAGTGCATTCCCGCGGGAGATCGAGGATGACGATGATGAAGATGAAGGGAAAGTGAAGTTTTCCTTAGATAAGAAAATGAGCATTAGTTCGTTTAATAAATGAGATGAACGTGGATTATAAAAAAATATAAAAGACTCAGATGAACTATTACAAATGATGATTCAGACTCTTTTTGCAATAAGAAATTTGTGGGTATAATCATGATTATCGAAATTAAGGTACCATAATGTTTATATCGGATATTTATATGATTAACTTCCGCATGATGGCGAAAAATTATTTGGGACTAAATCGTATAAAAAATTAAATTAATAGATGTAGTTGTAATCATATATTTTTATCAATTATTTATTTAGTTATAATAATTAAAAATAATTACTAGTGTGAACATAGGTGTATAGCGTACGCCTGCGTGTATATATATGGTGCCTTCTACCGTACCCCGGGTGAAATTCGGGGTACCGCATACCTTGAGTATGAAAACGCTATCTAGACCTCGAATTAGTAGGATTATTTGGCATGATACTATACCCTAACCTTTAATAAGTGAACCTAGGTTCTAATTATCTAAATCATAAACTATAAACCCTAAGATTGTGCATTGATATTTTTGCCTATATTTGGACGAATCATAACCGTCGATTATTGTTTCTAATTAAATTGATCTTGGGGTATCAGATTTAGAGAATTAAGACCTAGATTTTGATCTTTAAGGGTTAGAGTATAGTATCATGTCCGAAAGATCAGTCAATTCAAGTTCTGGATAGCGTTTTCTTACTCAAGGTATGTGGTACCCTGGATTTCACCCTGGGTACCGTAGAACTCCCCATATATATATATATATATATATATTATCGTTTGTATGTGTTTAGGCTAATGAAATGGTGCATTTTTAAGGTAGTCGGATATTGTTAGTCTAGGAGGGAACCTCCCAATTTTTGGGTGGGAAGATATAGTTTTGTGGCATGAGAATTGAGAACCAGTTGGGATCCATTTGGGTTAGGAAGCATGCTATGGGTTTATCATGTAAATGATGAAAGAGATGCTGCATGCGTGAATTACTTTTAGTTTAGCATTTGTCATGTTATGGCATTAATGGTGGAATTAGTCTCTTAGTCTCTTCCTTTGGAACGAAATTGGTATTGAAGATTAATTGCACACATTGTTGGAACATTTACAGGACCTGCATGTGCTTAATATAATTAAGTGGAATCTTTTTGCAATTTAAGGGATTGCATGATAGGCTAAAAAAAAAAAAAATAATCTCCCATGCACTTAACACAATTAACATGCTATTAGTAAGTACATAATGGTCGATCGGCGAGTAAGTGAATATTCTTCAAAAGTGAGGCATTCTTCCTTTCATGATAGTTTCCCAAGCATTATTTACATGGTACGTCATTCACTTGTTTAACTAATTGTTGTGGACGATGGCGATGCACCGGGCCACACCTTATTAATTGTTTCGAGATTTTTTCTGAGCTCGCGAACATGCCAAGGTGGGCTTGCGTTTGTTTATTTTGCAAGTGAAGTGGCTTATATGACTATTGGATTTGGAGAGTGGAGACAACAAGTTATCACCTTCTTTTACTTTCATAGAGGAACAATTATCCCTTAATTTTGGTGGGGACTACAGAATGTCACTTATTCAAATCTTTTGGTATTTAATATCGTGGCCCGAACTAATCCTACACTTTACTAATTTGGCCAAACTCGAAAATTGATTGTTAGTTTTAACGATCTAACCCTTTGACTAACGATCAACCCACCACATCATTGCCCAATCAACACAAATAAAAATTTATAAATTCCACGTAATC